AGAGATAGAGAGAGAGAGAGAGGTTCTCGATAATTAGTTTAGAGAGAGTTGGGGTTCTCGATAATTAGTTTAGAGAGAGAGATGGGGTTCTCCATAATTAGTTTCCCTCGTGTTTATTGGGTTGGAGAGGGGTTAGAGCCGCTTTTAAGAGCATTAAATAGCTCTCCTGTTTCAGGGATGGCTTTTAATGAGCTTAAAATGGAGAGAGAGAGAGCACCTGCATTGCATGTTAAAGAAGGATGTGTTTATGAGCCCTGAAGTCGTTTCTCTACTCTTATGAGCTGCTATAGGCTTAAATGATAAAGAGTATGAGCTAGTGTTGGTTTCAGGGATTGTAGTTCTTTTCAAGTCCTTTTTCTACTCTTATGAGCTGGTGTAGGCTTAAATGATAAGAGTATGAGCTAGTGTTGGTTTCAGGGATTGTAGTTCTTTTCAATTCTTCTGAACTAGTGTAAATGCTGATTTGATGTCTCTATTTTCTATTTTTTAGTTCTGAGGACCCTTTTCTGCCTAGATACATTCCCACATTGTCATCCTGAATTTGCCTTACTACACAAATTTCTTCTGTGCTCTTCTGTTCTTAATAAGTGCTCTCACTCTCTCTGAATGAATTTTCCTTTTCTTAATGTTGAACTGATTTCCCTACTTTTCTACCTTCAATCTAGTTTCAGAGTTATCAGAAACATTTACCCAGGTCGAAATGAGACTCATTTTGTATTAAATGCATTTCTATACTTGGTTTTCTTCCTGATCAGATCATTTTTCATGTTATCTTAGCTCATCTAATGAACAAGGTTTTTCAATCAGTTCCTGAAACTTATCCATGTATTTTATATGTATGTTTGCAGACGCTGTAATGGCTTCTCACTTCACTGCACTTAAGCTCTTCTGGTTGACATGTTTCTTCATTTCCAACATATCGTCTGCTATAGAAACGACTGAATTCCGAGCTTTAATGGCATTCAAATCCCAGCTCAAAAGTTCGGAAGAAACCTCGAACTGGGGTTTTTCGGGTTTTCTCTCTTCAGCGTGCTCTTGGACTGGACTAAGTTGCAGAGATGGCCACATAGTCTCTCTCTCTCTACCCCACATGGGACTCAAAGGAGTTCTCCCTATGGAGATGGGGTTTCTCTCTCGTCTTGAAGTGCTCAACCTCACAGATAACCACTTTCAGGGTTTGATCCCACCATCAATATGGCAGCTCTCCAATCTCAAAACCTTGGATCTCAGCTTCAACCTTTTTACTGGAACCCTAGGACCAGAGCTCCAAAGCCTTAGAAACCTGCAAAAACTGGACCTGACCTCTAATGGGTTGTCCGGAAAACTGATTCCTGAATTGGGTTGTCTCCCTAAACTTCAATTCTTGAATTTGGGTTTGAATTTGTTCACTGGGGTGATACCCGAACAGTTGTCAGATCTATCTGAACTAGATACCCTAGTTTTGACTGGAAACGAGCTTTCAGGCCCATTTCCAGAAGGTCTAGTGCACCTCATGAACCTGCGTGTCCTCGACCTCAGCAACAATGGCTTCTCTGGTGCCATTCCTGCAAGAGTCGGAGAGCTCAAGAAGTTGCAGGTCATGGATGTATCAAACAATTCTCTAACAGGACCCATTCCTCCAGAGATCGGAAGCTTAACAGAGCTAAAAGACCTCTTTCTAGGGCTTAACAGGTTTTCAGGTCCTTTGCCAAGAGAAATCAGTAACCTGATCAACCTGGTTAATCTTGATGCTCCTTCGTGCAATATCAGAGGGCCGATTCCGGAAGAAATTGGGTATCTCAGGAGTCTCGACAAGCTCGATCTCTCAGGAAATCCTTTACAGTCTCCAATTCCTGCTTCCATTGGAAAGCTTCAGAACCTAACTATCCTTAATCTTGTGAGCGCAGGAATTAATGGGTCCATACCAGAAGAGCTTGGAAGTTGCAGAAGCCTCACAACTGTGATTTTAACATTCAATGAAATCACAGGAGCTTTGCCTGATAAGCTCTCCGAGCTTGAGGAAACCATTCTTTCTTTCAGTGTGGAGCAAAACCTGTTAACAGGACCGATCCCTCCATGGATTGGTCGATGGAAAGTTGCAGACTCGATTCTTTTAGCTTCTAACCAGTTTATTGGGAGAATCCCACCAGAAATTGGCAATTGTTCCGCTTTGACCCACCTCAGTCTGAGCAAGAACCACTTAACAGGCTTTATACCCTCAGAGCTCTGCAATGCTTCATCTTTATCAGAGCTTGACATAGAGAACAATTTCCTTGTTGGATCTATTGAAAACACTTTCATCAACTGTAAAAACCTAACCCAACTGGTTTTGGTCCATAACCAACTTACAGGAACAGTTCCCAGATATATTGCAGAGCTTCCTCTTGTGGTTCTTGAGCTTGATTATAACAATTTTACAGGTGAAATACCGCATGAGATTTGGAGCTCAGCTTCCCTCTTGGAATTTAGTGCAGGTTTCAATTTTCTTCAAGGCAGTTTACCACCTGTAATTGGAGATTTAGTGACCCTGCAAAGACTTGTATTGAATGATAATGAATTGGAGGGGAGAATCCCAGAGGAGTTTGGGAAGTTACAGAGCTTGTCGGTGCTTTCACTTAACCAGAACAAATTATCGGGAGAACTCCCAATGCAGCTCTTCTTGTGCAACGTGTTAACGAGTCTGGATCTCGGGAACAATAAGCTTACTGGTGAAATTCCTCCTGAGATTGGGAAATTGTCTCAGCTTGAATACCTGGTTCTCTCACATAATCAGTTTTCAGGCGAGATTCCTTCTAAAATATCAGATATTTTCAGGCAATCCATAATACCAGATACCAGTTACTTGCAGCATCGAGGGGTTTTGGATCTCTCATGGAACAATCTCTCTGGTCCAATACCAGAAGGACTTGGAAACTGTGGCATAGTTGTGGATTTGTTCCTCAACAATAATAATTTGAATGGTCCAATCCCCAAATCCATATCGGCAATCTCAAATCTCACTTCATTGGACCTTTCCTCGAATAATTTAGAAGGTGAGATTCCAGTTGAAATTGCAGAGCTTGAAAAGCTTCAGGGCTTGGCGATGGCATATAACAATCTCCAAGGCACAATACCGGAGGAGCTTGGAAGGCTCAGGAACCTGGTTAAGCTTAACCTGACTGGGAATCGCTTGGTAGGTCCCGTACCAAACTCCATTGGAGACCTTCGAGCTCTTTCAGATCTTGATTTAAGCAACAACCAGCTCTCTGGTTCTTTGTCATCTTCCATGGCCAAACTTGCAAATATCGTAGGCCTTTACCTGCAAGAGAATCGAATCTCTGGGAGCCTAAATGGGTTGCTCTCTGATAGTGCTTCTTGGCACCAGATTGCGATATTAAATCTCAGCTCAAATCTCTTTAGCGGTGAAATCCCACCCTCTATTGCAAATCTCTCCTATTTGAACTACCTGGACCTCCATAATAACCAATTTACAGGCACCATCACCACAGATCTTACCCATCTATCACAGCTCCTATACCTAGACCTCTCTGCAAACTCTATCAAAGGAAAGATACCCAATGAGCTGTGCAGCCTCACTGATCTCAACTTCTTAAACCTCTCTAGCAACATTTTGGACGGTCCGATACCAAACTGTCAAAACTTTACTTATCAATCTTTTCTAAACAATAGAGCTCTATGTGGACCCTTAGTGGAAGATGGGTGCGAAGAAAAAGCTGGACTGAGAAGAAGCCATCTGGTTAATAAAAGAGCCATCCTGGTTCTAGCCCTGACCAGTACCTTCTCCGTCCTCTGCTTGACCGTGTTTTTTCTCAAGTGGAGGATGGCAAGGCAAGAAGAAGACAGTGGGTTCATCGAGTCCCCCCAAAAGTTGCAGAGCTGGAGCCACGGCCCTAACCAATCAATAGAACCTGGGCTTTGCCTTTTGTCCAAGGCCAAAAGCAGAGAGCCTCCAAGCATAAATATAGCCACTTTCCAGCAACCCCTCCTTAGGCTAACCCTAGCTGATATACTTCGAATGACCAACAATTTCTGCAAATCCAATGTAATAGGTGATGGTGGGTTTGGTACAGTGTATCGAGCTAACCTCCCTGATGGCCGAACAGTTGCTGTCAAGAAGCTTGGAAAGGCCCGGGATCAGGGCCAGCGAGAATTTCTGGCTGAAATGGAAACCCTAGGCAAAGTGAAGCACAAGAACCTAGTTCCACTACTTGGGTACTGTTCTTTTGGAGAGGAAAAGCTTTTAATCTATGATTTCATGGCTAATGGGAGCTTAGATTTCTGGTTGAGGAATAGAACAGAGGCTCTGCAAGTGGTTCTAGATTGGAACAAGAGATTCAGAATTGCATTGGGCACAGCAAGAGGGCTGGCTTTTTTGCATCATGGGTTTGTACCTCACATAATCCACAGGGATATGAAGGCTAGCAATATTCTTTTGGATAAGGATTTTGAGCCAAAAGTTGCAGACTTCGGGCTTGCGAGAATTATGAGTGCTTGTGAGACTCATGTCACGACTGAGATAGCAGGGACTTTTGGCTATATCGCACCAGAGTATGGTCAAAGTTGGCGATCTACAACTAAGGGTGATGTATATAGTTTTGGAGTGATACTTTTAGAAATGGTTACGGGTAAGGAGCCGACTGGTCTGGGGTTCGATGATTTTGAAGGGGGGAATTTGGTTGGGTGGGTTAGAGAAATGGTGGTGAGGGGAAAGGGCATGACTTGTTTGGATGGTGAAGTTTGTGATGGTCAGGGGGTCATGCAGATGCTCAAGGTCTTGCAGCTTGGCCTGGAATGCACCAGTGATGACCCTATGAGGAGGCCTACTATGTTAGCAGTAGTGCAGAAGCTCAAAGATATTGGAGAAAAATAAGAGTTGTGTAACTATCTTGTAAGTCTTTAGTGGGTTCCATCTCACAACCACAAGTGTACTTGAGAGAAAGAGAGACTGTGGGCCTATGCTGTAAAATGAGTTTCCCACCCACTTCCTGTACTTTGGCATGGTTTTAACTAATTTTGCTGGAGAAAAACTTTTACCTAGATATCCTTTATTCCAATGGTTGCTTGAGCTGTAGTAGTGACATGATCCCATGAGGTCTTCAATGGTAGATGATATTGGGGCTTTTATGGAATTCAAATGGGCTGCATCGTCCCCAACTACTTCATGTACTGTTTTAGTATCAGGTCCAAATCTATGAATGGGAAACCGACCATTTCCAGAGGAACTCTTTAGTCTTGGGCATTTTTGTTAAAAAGTTTTTGATAAACTTTGGTTTTGGCCCCTGACCAATATTGGAATTTGGAGGGTTTCATGATGCTTGTTTCCTCCCAAGAGGCCTAAACTTTGGAACTTAAATTCTCTTTCTTTAAAGATGGGAACGTGTGTTTCAATGTGTATCCGAATTTTTGGTGAGATACGGAGTGTCTTTTTCTCCTGTTTAAAACCCAAATGCAAATTTTGACATTAGGGTTTCAGCCCCACTAAAACCATTCCAAAATATGTTATACCAAATAAATTTATTTATGAAACCCTAAACCGTGAACAACAGCATAGTGTCACAGTTCTGGTGAAGCCTCAAGTTTCGACCGTTGAAGACGAGTCAGCCTTTCCAACTACAAGTATACACGTGTACCAACTAAACATGATAGGGAAGCTAACACCAATGCACACCACCCGCACATTAGCTCAACCCACTCGCACACACAATATACATTAGCACAAGAGAGTGAGGTCTATACACGAATTGAAGAGCACGGCCCTTTAGTATTCCACTGGATATCAAAAGCTTACTAGTCTCCAAGGACAAGGTGTATTACGTATTACAGATGAGGAGTACTCCCCTTTTATATAGGCACTAAGCCTTACAACCAACAGTTAGTATTGACACACATGTAACAAATCAACGGCTAGGAGCCTTCTAGCCTTTATAACATTGTAGACACAGCCTTTCCCTTAGGATAGATCTAGAAACCTTCTAGAATGTTCTGGAACCAAAGTGATAAAAAAAAAATGACTTGTATATATTGTACAAGGCATTGCAGGGACAACATTTTGGGGTGTGATACACTCTTTGTTCTTTAATCCAGCATAAACACATAGACTGAGCCATAAAAGAAGGCACATAAAAGGCCAGTAACAAGAAATCACTTGCTACGGCAAGAAATTCAATCCTCCAATGATTTTCCCAGCAAGTTGGATATGTAAAAGAAACAAATTACACATGAACCATAAACCTGAGCAATGCAAACATGGCATGATGCTTTTTTTCTCTTTCATTTTTGTTATTTCTTAACTACAGAGATGTCCAAAACGGATACAAAACGGTATTGGAGACATTGATCCAATCAAATGCATAGTGTTTTGTAAAATTGCAAACCCTTTTTAAGGCTCATTCTCAATCATTTCCCGGATATCGTTCACCACTAACCATGCCTTGTGGCCTCCAATCACCTCATCTTGTTTTTGCCCACCTTTCCACAACTGCACATACATTGTATCAGATTAAAAGTGGGATAACATTTTTAGGAAGTTCACCTGTATATTTATTGGACTTGGGCTTGCTTCTATTTTACCTGAATAGTTGGCATTTTCTGTTCATGTTCGTTGCATCCAAGACAGACATGCAAAATATATATAACGATCAGAATGGTCGTTAGAGGTTGAGGAGATTACAAGTAATTTCAAGATCAATCTAATGGCAGGTATTAAATGATGAGATTCATGAGAAACTACCTCTTCCATACAAAAGCATCGAAAGAGAATGAAAGAAATTAAGTCCAGGATCATACTTTGTAAACATTTTGTTAAAAGATAATAAAACAATTGGTAAAAGGTACAAGCCAAAAAAAGAAAAATGTAGAAAGTAAAGCCATTATTAAAAGATCATTCTACTGATTGTTACATTTGGGTAAGTTTTTCTAAAATACTAACTGAGTTTATTAAACGCTTCTCTTGTATCATTAACTATGAACAATGGGAGGTCGAACCCCTGGTCCTCCATCTCTGGCTGCCTCCTCCTGGGAAGAGCAAATGCTCAGACAGTGCCATCTTCCTTCTATCAATCACCAAAATAAGGATCCTCATCTGGAATATCTGGGTCATGGCCAATCCTCAAAAGCGCAGTTCTTGATCTGTCTCACAGGTTAGAAACTAAGCTAGAACTTCTCGACTTAGGCTTAGTCCATCAATAGTTGGTAGAAGACCATGCCTGTCGCGGACCTTGCTGGCTATGGGGGGCCTGGGAGGTATTTGGTCCTTTGGGACCCCTCCTGCCTTGTGGTGTCCTTGATCTTGCTGGGAAGATTCTCAATGTCGAGCATCTTCTTGGTGCATTCAAATAGTTTCCAATGAAAGTTCACAGCAGTCTAAGTGCTGAAGATTCCCAGTTGACGGGAAGAATTTTGGAAGCAATTAGATAGCATTACTACCCAGCCACCTAGCCCGTGGTGTATAGATGGAGATCTCAATGTCTGGAGGTGGTCACTTAAGAAAATAGGAGTGGTAGAATCACTACCAGTGTGTCGGCCTTTGCGGATTCATGTTCAGGGTTAACCTCAAACCTACCATTCAGAACAAGTCCATCACATGAACTATGTGGAGAGTCTAGCGTCCTATCCTGACTGAGTTTTATTGGTTCTTAATGTCCTCAGAATGAGAAGTACTCCGCAAAAAGTTGGAAATGTTGACGTCCAAACTAAAAGCATGGAGTCGCCAGTCCTTTGGTGACTTTAGAGAAAGAAACGACTTGGAACTCATGGAGGATACTACAGACTTGTTGCTAGAGGAGAGGGCGAGGAAGAAAGAGGTGAATATTGCATGCCAAGTTGTCCTGAAACAAGGGCAAGTGTTCTGGCATCAATGATTTAGAGTCCAAGGGCTCAGGGAAGGAGGCCACAAGATGCCCTTCTTTCACAAGATTGCACCTTGTAGAAAAGTGAAACTCCATAGTACTGATTAAGGAAAGTATTAGGATTTTTTATGAGCACCCCTGAAGTTGAGACTGAGATAACACAATATGTTAGTAACCTTTTCTCCAAACTGCCTCAAGTAAGACTTAAGATGCAAAGCCACCTTGGTACTATATTAAGAGAGAAGACCAACAGGTTAGGACAGTCCTCTGAGCAGGAAATCCACAAGACCATTGCATAGTTAGGACATGATAAGGCGCATGGAGCAGATGGCTTTCTAGTGGCTCTTTTCCAACACTTCTGGGACACCCTGGCCCCATACATCTTACCTGCTTTCAGAATTCTAAAATAGGGGGTATCATTCCTAGGAGTATGAGCACAATTTTCATAGTTTTGGTTCCAAAAATAAAAGGAGGGGGAAAGAGCTCAAGGATTTTAGGCTTATAATCCTTCTAAACAGTTAATACAAGGTTCTGAGGTCTTAGACTCTAGGCTAAGACAAGTTCTTAAAAGTGTCCCCACTCAAGGAGATTTTGTGAAGGACCAAAGCCTTGACATCTCATGAATGCATCCATTCTTGAAAGCAAGCTAAGTTATTGGGTTTGGTGCTCCAATTGGATTGGGTGAAAGCCCATGATCATGCAGAGTGGGATATAATAGACCAGATTATAGTTACCCGAATCGCCTATGAGGATAGCGATTCCGTTTCGGAATCTCGATTTGGTGTTTCCCCGGGTGAAAGTTGATTCTAAAATAAAGGAATCACGTTTCCATTTTTTGCGGAACGCGATTCCACCTAGTTTAGGAATCTCGATTCCTGGATTGCCGGAATCGAAATTCCATATCGAGGATTTTATGATTCTCTGCTACACAAGAATGCGATTCTTCTTGTGAGAAACGTTGATTCCAATTTTTGGAATTGCGAATCCATGTTGTTTGGAATCAAGTTTCTATATCGTAGACATCGTAATTCCTTGCTACACAACAATGTGATTCTACTTATGCTAAATGTTGATTCAAAGTATTAAGGAATTGTGGATCCATGTTGTCAAGAAGCAATGTGAGCATAGGGAGAGCAGAGACCCTTCGATGTGCGCTCCATCATGAGTGAGCGCGACATGTATGAGAGCGTGGGAAAATTTGAAGTTGTTGCACACTGCAATAAAATCAAAATTTAAAATATAAGTAATATGTTAAATTTTTTATTGTCTTATTTACTAATTTCTATCATTCATTCCATGTTACTTTTTAAGAACTCTTACCAAGAATAATAATACTAAAAAAATATGTTACTTCAAATTTAATAATGTTTGGTAAATGGTGTTGGGTACTAAACTGCTAATGTAATAATGTTTAATATATGATCGGCACCGTCATTTCTTCAAGTTGAATAAGAGGATAAAAATGTTTTTCTTTAAGTAAAATAAGAAGATAATAAGGATATGAGCGAAGTGCCCTGTGCGGTGTTTTAGGTTAAATTAATCATTAAATATCAGAGAAATTGACTAAAATTGAATAACTCAATTTTTAAAAGTCAAAAGACTCAAACCTACATTTAACAAAGAAGAATTACTATATCATGTACTTATTTTATAATTCAAGGAAAGAAGATAAAGGGAGCTTGCCCTTGTTTTCACTCCTTGTATGTTGTAGACTAGCTCCAGACCTTGTAGGCATAATTATTGGTAGACCGAGTCCGTTGTATGGGATTGTCCACAAAGATATCATAAAGGTTGACATTAGTACTTGGAGCCTTGGACTGAGTATATATAGACCAAAATTCGCTCTTGTAGTAATGGGTAAATTTATATATTTTCTGAATACTTCTCTCATATACCGGAGAAAATTGGTTCGCAATTCTAGTAAGGGGAGAATCTCGATCCAATATGGGGAGAATTACGATTTCGAAATAGTGAGAATGTTGATTCCAAGTTGATGGGGACAACAATTCTAGAATTTTAGGAATCACGATTCCATATTTTTAGGAATCACGATTCCAGCAACCACCGAAATAAGTGGGGTCATGTGTGATTCCATATAGGTATGAAACGCAATTCCAACACGAAGGGACATCGATTCTTGCAAATAGGAAACAAGATTCCTAATTTTTTGAATCGCGATTCCAAAATAGTGAGAATCATTTTTCTCAAATTTGAATCGTACGGACAACGATTCCTAGATTCCGAAACTTCTGATACACGTGATTTCGATTCCAGAAACGATTCGGAATCATAGTCGTTTCCAACAACTATAGACCAGATCCTTAAGCATATGGACTTTAGAAAGAAATGGAGGCAATGCATCTCTATCTGCATAGGCTCTCTGTACTTCTCAATTCTTGTAAAAAGAACCAAAGGGTTTCCTCAACCTGGGGTCTCCATCAAGGAGATTCCTATTTTCCTTTTGTGCCATAGTGGGAGAGATTTTCAGTCAATAAGTTCCTAATTTACGCAACCAAAACCTTCTCAAGGTCTCTCAACCTTACCTAGTGAACCACGGATTACACACTGCAAATATGCTAATGAACCCTGGTTTTCCATAACATGGAGACTCAACAAGTTGACTGCCTTTGGTTATTCCTCTGATGCCTTGGTATTTGGTTCAATGAAAATGTGATGTCCCCCAGATTTAATGATAGTGATGATAGAATAACCTGTCCTCTACATCCTTTGTCCTTGTTCCCCTGCCCACCTATTCGTAGTCCTTACCACCTCACCACCCCCCCGCACCCCCTCACGTCCCTGATCCCCCCTCTCCACCTTCTCTTCCCTTTCCTTCCCTATGTCCCCTTATCTCTCAAAAGGGCCTCCATTTCCCCTCCCTCAACCAAACATTGGCCAAATCCCTCTTGGTCACTTCCATCCTCCTAGAGGCGACCCCTAAGGCATAGAAACGTGGGGACAAAAGCTTTGGGGTGAGCCAAAGCCTGCTTTCCACAAACTTTCTGCCGGTAAATTCTTGTTCTCGTTCCCCTCCGAAAATAGCATGCATAGAGCTCTTAACTGGCCCTCTACACAGTTCAAGGGGGTAGCTCTCTCCCTCTCCATAACACCTCACTAAAATCCCAGGGGTAGTGATCAAACTGGACTGAGAAAAGGCATACAACCACGTTGGTCCATTCTTGACCAGGCCCAATCCAAGATGGGATTTCGTCCCCAGTGGCACAAGTGGATACAAGGTTTTGTATATAGTTCTCCTTCCCCATCCTTGTCAATAGTTTTGCAAAAGGCTTCTTTCCCTCCTCTAGCTGATTGAGGCAGGGCAATCCACCCTCACCCTTCCTATTTGCGATAATTGCTGAGGTTTTTAGCCGGTCTATCTCAGGCCTCTATAGCAACGGCCGCCTATCTGGTTTCAAAATAGGGAACTAGGGCCTCGAGATTTCCCATCTGCAGCACGCAGATGATACACTTCTCTTCTATGAAGCTACCCCCGAATAGGTCGACTGATACAAATAAAATTGGGGTTTAATTTTTATTTTATTTTATTTTATTTTAATTTTAGGAATAGAAATTACCCTAAGATAAGTCAAGTTAATTTGGGAGGAAGGAGGAGTTTGTGCATGATGTGATATTGATCAATTGGTTGGTTAGTTTCTAAAAAAGAGGAATATAAATAGGATAAGGTTTTTCTAGGGGGCTTTATCTTTTTAACAATAGGGAAGCTTTGACTAGGTAAAACGTGGGCTATCTATTTAGAAGCAAATCTTTTGTGGCACGTGAGGTTAAGAAAGAGAAAATAGGGAGATCAAGAGAGAAAATAGGGGCTTGGGGAAAACATGTGGGAAAATCGTGTAAGTTAGAGAGAGAGAATTTTATGGGTTTTTATTTCTTATTTTGTATTTAAAGTGAAGAGTCCCTCATTGTAAAGATCAAAGATTGAAATTGAGTAAAATTTGGTCTTGTGATGAGATCGTTTTTAGGGTGGATTCCCTTGCAGACTCTGAAAGACGGTATATTCTCTCGTTGGGGGTAGATTCCCTTGCAGACCCTGAAAGATGGTATATTCTCTCGTTGGGGGTGGATTCCCTTACAGACCCTGAGAGAGGGTATTATCTCTCACCTTTTGTTTTATTTTTATTACAATTATTTTTTTCTCCCTGCATCAATTGGTATCAGAGCCCTAAAATTGATGCTGATATGGAGAGCTTTGAGATCTGTGATCTAATTATGGAAGATGTTCAAAGTGAAGTTCGTGACATCAATCAGCGGTTGCAGCGATTAGATCAAAGATTTGAGAGACTCAAGGAAGACCTAGTAGAGCGCATTAACAAAGTAGTAGAACAAAGTCTACGATATTTCTTTCATAGATGAAAATCAGAACAAGAGGAAGAAGATATGAAGAGGTAGATCTCGATAAAAAAGGCGACGGCGAAAAACCAAATGTGCAAGAAATTTCGAATATCAATTGTGAAGAAAAAGAAGAAATTTTGAAAATCAAATATGAAGAAGAAGATATGTGTGATGCAGTATTAAAAATCCAACCCAAGTCTAAAGGAGAAATCAAAATGAAGTGTGAGATCCCAACGTTCTACTTCGAGATAAGCACGAAGCATTCGATGAATCAACTTAATGAAGAAATTGAAGAAAAAGTACCGAGGCACATGGTGGGACTGCATCACCAACTTTCGAGAAGGCCTCTAAAATGTTTGAGTTCTATAAGCTTGAGATTAAGCTTCTCCCAACCCAGGGAGAATAATGCAAATAAAATTGGGGTTTAATTTTTATTTTATTTTATTTTAATTTTAAGAATAGAAATTGCCTTAGAATAAGTCAAGTTAATTTGGGAGGGGGGTGCATGATGTGATATTGATCAATTGGGTTGGTTAGTTTCTAACAAAGAGGAATATAAATAGGATACAGTTTATATAAGGGGGTTTATCTTTTCAATAATAGGCAACGTTTTTCCTTTAGGGGGAAGCTTTGACTAAGCAAAACGTGGGCTATCTATTTAGAAGCAAATCTTTTCTGGCACGTCAGGTTAAGAGAGAGAAAATAATGAGGAGAGATAAAATAGGGAGATGACGAGAGAGAAAATAGGGACTTGGGAAAAATGTGTGGGAAATTCATGTAAGTTAGAGAGAGAATTTTATGGGTTTTTTATTTTTTATTTTATATTTAAAGGGACATTGTAAAGATCAAAGATTGAAATTGAGTAAAATTTGGTATTGTGAAGAGATCGTTTTTAGGGTGGATTCCCTTGCAAACCCTGAGAGATGATATATTCTCTCGTTGGGGGTGGATTTGCTTGCAAACCCTGAGCGAGGGTATAATATCTCACCCATTGTTTTATTTTTATTATAATTATTTTTTTCTCCCTGCATCGTCGACACTCTACTCCTCTCCCTCAAATGCTTCAAAATGGCCACGGGGTTTCAAGTACACTTGGCTAAGACTACCATGATGGGTATATCGATGGACCACGAAGCTGTGGAAACTCTGGCTGACCGATGGGGATAAAAGGTTGACCAGTTGCCCACCACCTACTTTGGTCTTCTGCTTTGTGCAGGCAAACCCAAAACACAGCCTCTGAAGTCACATTATCAATAAGTTCGACATTATCAATAAGTTCAACTGCCACTTTGCAGGATGGAAGGGAAGGTTCCTATCCTATGTGGTCGCACTACGCTCTCCAACATCCCTATTTTTCAGATGTCCCTCTTCCACACTTCTGCCGCAATGATGACTCGTCTAGAACAACATATGAGAAATTTCCTCTGGTCTGGGGAAGGAGGTAGTAAATTTCACATCAACTCGTGGGATAAAATCTGCCTGCCCAAAATGGGCAGGAGGATTGGGAATCTGTAGACTCAAACCCTGCAACCTAGTGCTAGGGAAGTGGTGGTGGCATTATGCGACCCAAGATAACCACATGTGGAAGGAGGTATTTAAGTCTAAACACCACTGCCAGGACTCTGCTTGGCTCCCAAGGGGGCGAGTCAACAGCCACTCCTCTGCAGTTTGGAAGGCCATTAACCACTGACTGGGGCTCTTTAAGGCCCATATCCACTTCAGACCTAGAGCTGGCACTAGAATCCATTTCTGGCCACCTATGGATTGGCCATGCACCCTTGAGAGATAGGTTCCAAAACCTATTACTCATGGCCATCGACCGTGACGCCACAGTGGCGGAGCAATTTGAGAGCATGGAACCTAA